TTTTTTTACTTACAAATTTCGTTCGACTCAGTAGTCATATTTGGAATCTACATGTTTGACAGAATTTTCCTTGCATTTGGTATTTAAGGTGAAATATATATATATATATTGATATTTTCAAACACTGAAATATATACATTTTTATTCAAATTCTTCAATTTATGCAAATGGGTCGACGAAAATAGTTTATACCAATGTTTTTTTTCAGAAAACGTTCAAAAACGAATAACAACATGAAAAAATTTAGAAAACTATTGATCTATAACAAATCAATAGATTAAAACAAATTATAGAAGAACTGTTAGTTGTTCTGAAAGTGTATAAATATTTTAACAATTTTTCCAGAAAATCAATGATAATGACAGGTTAATATAATAACATACAATACATTTCGTTGTTTTTTTTTTCGCCTTTACATGTCTTATATATATATATATTCAAGTGGCTCACTTGTCAATTAACCTTTTAATTTCGGAAATACTGTCCTGTGATAAAATAATTTAATGTAAGTGCAACAAAATGAATAATATTTGTGCCGAATAAGGTACGATGAAACTATTTTGAAAATTATTTACATAAATCTAATATCAGACGTATAATCAATTATTAATAACTTGAAATATTGATTTTTGAATATATAGATACGCCATAATATTGTTAAAATGTATAGCATATATTTGTACGCAGTCACTAGATGTCACTGAATCGTTTACATGCAATTTAATAAAAATAGGGTTTTTGACAATGGAAATGATAAAAACAATATCTATAGTTGAAAATCTGTTTTTAACAAGTTGAACGCAAATTATTACAACGACGTTTAGAAGTTGTGTCTACGTAGGTATTACCAACTTTAGCAATATGATGAAATTTCTTTATATTATAAAATCAATGGTTATTACTACTCAAAGTTTGAATAAGAGCGTTAGAGAAGGATTAATCTAAATATGAGTAAGATACTTTTTATACTATCTCTAGTCTAAATTTAAAATAATTATGTCTAATATTAATAGTTTGATATTAGATTTATGTTAATTTAATTTAATAACATTAAAATTTACAGAAAAAAATATAAACATTAATATTTAAATATTATACAATAGGTAAGTAAACTTTTGAAATTAAAAATATACTTCTTATATTCTATGACAAAGAGAGGGTGATAAAAATAAATGATCATTAAAGAAAAATGTAATGGTATTTCCATTTATGTTGAAAAAACATTTAAAAAATTACATATTTTCGAGATAATACTTAGTTTACGATGGAAAAAAAAATTTCCCTACACAATGTGACTTGTATAATATTACGTACATTACTCACATTACAAGCAATAAAAAGTACAGAATTCTGTACGAGTTCTTTGTAAACTTTTAAAACTGTTTTTTTATAATGCTAATGCGCTTCAATTATTTATTTCTTTAACGTATTATATGATAATACGATAAAAAAAAATTAATTGTAGTTATTGCATTATAAAATTCAACACAAATGCAATATACGATATTTGAAGGCTTTATTCGTAGCCGTATATCATAATTTCTAAATTTTAAAGATGAACGCACAATTAGTATTAATTAAAGTATTTCCTTCTGCGTTATTCAATTTTGATTGTAATCCAAAGGAAAATATTTTCAAACAATAAATATCTCGGGTTATTTATTTTGATGGTGCACAATATCCATATGATTTCACATTCTCATACGACACTAATAAAAAATACCTTTTTATCATATTATATATTTTCATTAATATGTATACACTTTTAAACAATATTACTCTATAACAATAATCAATGTGTAAATATTTTAAAGATATGTCCTGAAATAACATCAGACCTGCCATAAATTAAAATATTATAAGTATAGTTAAATTATAAACATTGTTTAAAAATGAATTGTTTTGTATTATACTTAGCAAAAATACAGTCTCGCATATTAATAATTCAAAGTAGAATATTTTTACTCTATTTGCGTAAAAATAATGAACTTTCATTGTATATCCTATGCACATATATATATTATATATAACCTACGCATAGAATTAATTGGTTTTGAAAGAATGTTTTTATTTTCTGAGAAGCAGTGCTTAAAAAGCTTTATGTACACATATCAATCAATTAAAAGTTTCATCTAGACTCTTGGGATAGGGAATTGGACAAAACAAAAAAGTCCACAGGCCTGATCTTACACAAATGTACTTTCTATCCTAATGTATCTTTGGAAAACATCAAGTTTGAATTTTTACCTCCAAACACAACGTCACTAGTTCAACCTTTAAATATGGGTGTTATCCAAAATGTAAAGGTTAAGTATAGAGAAGCGATGGACAACCGGTAAACCGCGTTACAAATCCGACCAGTGGAAGGTAGATACCAGGACTTTAAATGCATTAATTACATATTTTTAAATAATTAATACGAGTATAATAATTAATGGAAAAATGGAATATTTTGTAATTATATATTTTACAGTTATCTCATAATAAAATGATTTATTTCTCTGCAACTCGTTAATTAATTATTTTAACCTTCCGGACTCCAATCGAAATTACTTGCCAGCCAATAGTATAAAGCAACACTAGTCAATAACATTTTATAAAATTTTAAATACAATTTACTTCAACCACAATCGATAGTATGGATATCGATAAAAAATAATATAATATGCTGCATGCAATTCAATTTATTGAATGCGAATCAGTAATCGACAAATTTGTATGTTTCTTTTATTTATTTCAGTTTATTAAGAGACAACCGCTTTATTGGGACACAATAACATGTAACCAATGTGTTCTAATAAAGCAAAGTCGGCAGTACTAACTTAAAACATCTTAAAATTAAAATTTACGTCTAATTTTATTTTATTTTAGAATATTTACGTCAAAAGTTTAATAATTAAAATATGTTAATACCAATTGTATTCAAATTTTTTGCTATTTATGGAGATATAATTTATTTATTTTGATAAAATCAATTGATTTGTGTTCATTGTGATTTGAAAATTGTGTACACCAAGTCAATAATTTCTTGACCATTGCTTCAGTAACTCTGATGTCACGACTAACGATTTTTATCAGCACTTTAAATGCGTTAGGACTATTAAACAAAGCTTTTCTCATAACTGTTTTTCAAACGCGACGATTTATCATAGCTTTCAAATCCAACAACACTATTCTCCAGTGGTCTACCCGACTTCTGTACCACATAATTTCGTTTTATATTATGTTTAATATATAATAAATAGCCACGTGACCTGATGTACCTAACGTACATATTTTATGTTAGCCCACATAAACCGTAGATTTATAAAAGTGTTATACAGTTATATTTTACAATGGTGCATAAAGCGGTTTATTTTTACTCCGTTGTGGTCAAGGTAATACAACGTCTTATCGTTGTGCTTTCGGTACTATTTCATACTTTGCGCAGCACGAATTTTATATACAACCAGCTGTCTCGTCCTTGACAAAAGTACTAATTGTATGTCCCTTTCCTTTCCGGAATACGATTAAAAGGAAAATAATTACAAAGCCCGTTAATTTCATGCCACTCATAAACTCGTACCCTCGCTTGCTTATCGCCACCACGAACAAATCTATGATCTTAGCTCGCGTTTTATATATATTACGTTAATCTTGTCATCGTGAGCGTTATATATTATGTATTCAACGGTACTATTAGACCGAAATGTGTTCTTGGCCGTAATTAACGATAAAACGTTGTGGTATACTCGATAAATAAAATACCATTAAGTGATTGACTTAAAAAAATAATAATTTAAATAAAATATTCATACTACTTTATGTACATCACAATTCGTTTGTTGCCACTGATATGAATCAAACCGCTACGAAAACTTATGCCTTTGATTAACCGTATTTTTGTACAATTGTACAATCTGTAAAGTAAGGTTTACAATAAACAAGTGAAGAAAGAATTAATACAGAAAATACAAAATAATGGATAATGTAACAAACAATAAGTTAAGTTAAATCACAATTATTTACATCAGTTCAGAACAGGGGGACTTGGGTGAAAAGGCCATCCATTGATGGAACTTCTTGAATTAACCGTATTTAAAATAAAAGCTGCAAGCCAATTTTCATCGAAAAACACAAATTAACGATTGCACGTAATACATGCGATGACGGTGAAAAGTAATAAAATACGAGACATAATCTTACATTTTCAAATATTCAATTTGAAATGAATATCTACTATAAATAATAAAAACGAATTTTTTCCTGCTTGAAAATTGTATTATGTACTTTTTACATATTTTTCAAATCAGCCGAAATTTTTTTTCACTATGTAAAATTGTACACGCGTATCGTACGTATCGACAAAACACTGTACAAAGTAGATAACATTTACACCTCACATCGATAGGTTTAAATGTACACGGACGATGATAAACCGAAGACTGTGACGTTTGCGAAATTGGATCATAACACTGTTGACCAGTGGCGCACACAGAATTTTTTTCCGGAGGGGGTCAAGGTAAAAATATAACACATTTTACAATTAACAAAATTATGCAAATCCTTAATATATTTTGACTTAAATAATAGCATTGATAATAGAATAGACTATTCTATAATCAATGATACTAGGTATTCAATACTAGCTCTTCATATTTCAAACTTGTAAAATTTGTAAATTTTAACCTAGACATCGGAGAAAATTTCGGGGGGGGGGGGGGGTTACAACCCCTTAACCCCCCTCCACTGCGTGTGTCACTGCTGTTGACGACGGACTAATCAATAAGGATGGTCTTGGAGGCCGTTTACTCGAGGAGAATACGAACGTTATTAAATCTAAGGATCATCAAATACAATATTTATGTGCATGTCCTTCAATTATTATTTATGTATTTTATATTTCTGTCATCATGTTCTTTTTTCCAACATCAAATTATTCGAGTTACATTCCATGTACCGTATTATATATTTTATCCATCGAAATGTATAAATACATATATTTTTATTTTTTGTTACAGGAAATCCTTTACCTCGCGTCATGTGGAATGTACGAGGAGAAAGCGCAGAATATACATATAACACAGATGAGAATACAGTCACCAGCGTGTTACGAATTGATCGAGTCCACCGGGAAAGCCTGGGCAGAAAACTCGTTTGTGAAGCGTCGAATATACAAAATACTATTCAGTTAACAACGTCGGTCACCATGAATGTATATCGTGAGTAAATAAAATCATAAAATAATCGTTATACAGAGGAAAAAATGTATTCTTAATGGACACTTAAAATTAAGGATGTTACCATTTACGAGGTAAAAAAAACCTTTCCAAAGAGAGGAAATACATTTCCATGAATATATTTTTTACTTCCACAGTTACAAATTACAATATTGTTCACTATAAATCAACTCTATATTGTAATACGTGAATGTGAATACAAAATGTCTTTATTCGAAATTTATTTCTATACCCGAACGCGCATATATTTCAATCGTAATAGATAGCTATGATGATCAAAAAGATGATTTACAAATTTAATTTAAAGTGTTTTTCATTCAATTTACGTTGCATTTTATACGGTTAAAAATGTCGTACTGATTAACGTAACTTAGTGTTTATAGAAATGTAAGTTTGCTCAAATAAAATAATTCATACCAACCCATTTTCGATCATTTTAATCTCTGCTCGGGCCAATACACTGTGCATTTTAATATAAGATAAAGTGTAAGTATAAAACAATAAAACATTAACTAACAATTTAATTATTTTAAAACATATTTGAAAAAAATTATGGATAAAACTTCTCAGAGTAATAATTATTTATTTTCAACATCCATAAAATGTTCCAGCAAGAAGACATTGTGTCCAATAAGATTACTTCCAGGAATCTTACTTGAATTAAAATGTTGGTAATATTTTTAGATAAATTAAGAAATATTTTTTAATGGTAGAGTTATTTTTCTGGTATTTTACTGAATTTACTAAACTTTTTAGTATTAAACGTCGTTTTTAATGTTCCTTTTGTGTATATTTTAACCGCCCCATCTTAACAAATATAATTTTAATCACTTTTCCCGATATTAATAACTTACACTTAAACCTTATTTTTTGTGTAATAAAAACTTCGTGATTCATTAATTTTATTTTAATTTAATAATTAAAAGAAAATATTTTTAAGAAAACGTTAGCAAAACAATACTTACATGAAGAAATATAAACATGTTTAAAGATTAACAGTAAAAATGTATGGATTTCGTTGTGTACAAAACATATTAAGCGTTATGTACAAGTAGTATAAAATACACTTTTTTAGTAGGAATTCAAGTGTTTCAACGTTTATGTAACGCGTTGTAAAATCTAGAGCATTAAACATTTAATTATATGTCGATTATATAGCAGTTTTCGAACATGTCCAACTGTATGTAAAATATTTTATAAAATTAAAAATGTTTGTTTTAATTTGTAAAAATAAAATTAAAGATTTCTTTACTGAATATAAGTAAATACATACTGCTATAGCAATTAAAATACATAAATATCTTCGTAATAATATTGATTGATATATTTCTTTATCATTATTATAATATTTTAAGTATAATTGAATGTTTAAATTTCTGATATATTTCTGAAAAATATAAAATGTTGATATTTTATCAATGAAAATGTGTATTATGTATTAATTTTAAAACAAAATATTTGAAAAAGTTATAAACACGTTTCAAATTTTTATGGTGAAAATTAGAATTTTACAACTATTATCTCTGTCAGAAAACATAATTAGGAACAGTTAAAAGCCCATCAATTAATATTTCTTTTGTAAATAAGTATATTTGTAACTATGTATATTTTAAAATATTGTGTTTATACTTTAAAATAGTGATAAAATAGTCAAACTGTTCGGTTCAAAATTCGAACTCGACATGAAAAAAAATCAAACCAAACTATCAAGTATCTTTTACTGTTCGAAAATCGAACTTGAAAATATTTGTCAAACCAGAACTACTGGCCACGATAATTCGAAAATCAAATATTTGTATAATTCTTCAAAAGTTATTTTTGAAAAATAAAAATTGATAACGATTATTTAAAAATAATTAGACTATTGGCGATAGAAAGTGATAATCTGTAAAGGGCACGTTATACATTATTTATAATAATATTGCTATTATTATAATTACAATGTTATTTTTCCAGTCGCATGTTACACATCCACCCTCCACCGACCAAAACATTAATAAGTTGTTTATCGCCAATAGAGACAGTGTTCATAAATTCATAAATTAGCTATTTTTGTTTTTATCATATTTATTATAAAGGTTAAAATTTATTTTGGGTACATAAAAATACGATGGATTATCCATCGTAATATTCCGATACCACGACTGCTCTGTTAATAAAAACATGTTTACGTACGTCTTACATTATAAATTCTACTAATCATTCTATGTTTGTGAATTATAGTTATTTTCAACTCTTTTTTATATATTATTAAAATGTACTGATTATATTGTCATATTACATGCAATACTCAATACTCAATGAATATTTATAAGCTACAATACAACACGAGAGAGCACAATACTGATTTTGAAAAATAATAATAATAATAATAATAAGAAATTATCTAAAATTTAAATGTATTGTAGATAATACAATTACGTAGACTTAAAAGTTAGAATGTAGAATAGGTAATACGAAAACTTAAAATGCAATAGTAATTAATAATTATGGTTGATTTAATTTGTAGGTAGGTACAATGTACATGATAAAAAGTATTAAGTTCGAGTTCGAGTTCGACTTAAAATCATAATAAGTTTGGTTTAATTCGAGTTCGAAAAAATAATTTAAAGTTCGGTTCAAGTTTGGTTCGATTTAAAAAATCAGGAGACCCATTACTACTTTAAAACTTAATGAATAATTAGAATGTTCAAATGTAATACTAATACTCTGATATTGATCTTCATTATGAGAATTAATTAATAATTATTTTTTCATTTACTTTAAAAATTATAGTAAATTTAATATATTATAAAGCAAGAATAAAAATAAAAACAAACGAATTTTTACAGTTTTGTATTTATTGTATTTTTATTGCACTATCAATCATAATTAAAAAATATTTTATCCCTAGAAATAAAATTTATAAATACAAAAATACTATGTAATTATCATATTTATAACGATATAAAATGTTTTATTGAAATTTATATTAATTTAATACAAAAATACTACGTATTGGTATTATTTGTAATGTTTTCTTATGCGTTCCTTGATAATAAAACGTATTCAAAATATTATATAAAAATATATAAAAACTATAATGTAAAGAACATTAATTTATAAACTAACAATTTAAACTAACTTATCTATCTACGATAAAACATGTTTAAAAAAGGTTTTGATCTACTTCTCACGTATTGTAAACCATTATTTTTAGTAAGCTCCTTTAACAAGTTTCTTTTTTGAAAATGTTTGCAATTTTAAATTTGTTTAGAACGACGAATCAATGTATTTTATTAAAAATAAATCTCATTTTATGTTGAAAAAATCAAATTAAGTTTTTAAAACTTTAAAACTTAATAAAAATATTTTCAAGTAGTAAATTATGACATTATTGATACAAATCCAAAAAGGTGAAATCAGTATAAAAAACCCAAAAAAATAATTTTTAACGTGTCCAATAAAACCGTATTATTTTGTCCGATTTAAAAACAATTTTTAATTTGACTAGGTACCGAAATTGATTCTGAATGAAGCTTGGTGTAATAAAATATATAAATATTGAATATTTAATGCAATTTTATATTGCGAGGAAAATTTATCATATAGTAAAATGGTAGCAAATATACTTAGATTTAAATGTAAAATGCAGTAGGTACTCATCATTATGATTAATGAAAAAGTAGCATTTTTAGAATAAAAGTAAAATCATAATAAATATTATCAATATTCCTGTAATTAATGTTCTTCGAACTAGAATTAAATCTAATTTTCAACATTATTTCAAATGGAAAAATAAAATTATTTTTTTTAAAAAAATTGAACCCACTGACAGTGCCGGTCTAAAAGTTGATTATTTAATTTACTTAGTAGGCAAGAAAAAAGTATGTGAGAACTGTTCAAATCTTATAGTAGTAGTCATAGTGATTCCATAGGTAGAGACATATTAGTAGGTTAAAGAAAACTACAATGAGTAAAACGTTTTATAGATTAAAATATACAAAAATCAAGTTTTATGAATGTTTTTAAAATTGCAAATAATTCCATTAGACTTTTATAATATTCAAACCTGTTTTAAAGAAAATTATTTCCCAATTGGTTTGCATGGCATTTGTTACATATTCAACAACGGTTGAAACAATTTTATCGACAAAATATTAGTTATTATTTTTTAGTGGGTAAAAATCTGTTTTCTAGGACATAAGAAATTAAGAAATAATTTAAGTCGAAATAAAATGCGTGAATCAATATAAGGCATTATAAGTAATATTTAAGTTGGTACCAAAATTAGAGTGATAGTAAATATTCAAAAATCCGGTACACTGAGAAAAATGTTCGTAGTAGTATTATTATTTTATTGAAAAAAACATTCTGAACAAAATTTAGACGTACATAAATATTTGTGATATAATATATAACACGTATGGAACTTCATTATTTTGGTACTTATTTTATCAAATGTCTCTGAGAACGAAAATCATGATTTATGTATTAAAAACGTGAATAATATTATAAAATTAATTGTGTTATATTTTAAACATAAAAAAAAAAAAAAAAATAAATAATTAAAGAAGTGGTTGAAGTCAAATATTCCGATAATGAACCATTAAACCTGAATTATTATTTTTTGCTCCTTCAACCATATTTCATTAGAAAAATAAATAACTTATGTGCCTACCTAATTAAGTTGGCCAACATTAACAATTTTTTTTTTTTTGTTAAAATTATAAAAATTATTGAAAAAAATTACAAATTGCATTTTTAGAACACTATCTTGATCCAATTTTATATTAAATGAGATCCTATATAAGACTTTTAGTTTAGATTTTATACTTGAAAAGTATTATCAGAAAAAAAAATCATAATTGTAAAATCAATACATTTCATTCTACCCTCAAAATCTAAAATATAAATGTTATACATAAAAAATGCATTACGATATTTTTGTTTCCAAAAAAATTATTAAACAATTTCAAGGATGGTATATAAATGTAACTTTC